CGAAATGACCATCATGGAAGAGGTGAAAGTGGCCGGCGGCGTCATCCATCGGGGAACCGACCCCTCTCCACTATCAGTGACAGTGTGGATCCTGCTTATATTCTAGGATTAGATCGTTCAGATGAAGTTGGGGTAAGAAGGAAAAAGCTTTGTACTTATGTGTCCTGTTGTTTTTTGTCATGCATGGCATTTTCTCTTCTTGCCTTTAATTATTTTTCTTCCAGTACAGGTAATTAAAGATTGCTGCATTGATATCTGACTATAAATAATGAAGAATTAGTAAAATGTGACTTCGAAACTAATATGATCCTAATATAGCAGAATAGTGTTTTCCACCTTTGTTTCCACTCTTTCGTGGATTGGACAATTTAGGTGATGATGATATAATTTTCAAACATCTTATACAAATTGAGTAGTATAACATATATGATATAGTTTGAAAGATGGAATAATGCAATGCCGCATTGATATAGATATATAGAACTTGTTATATATATGATATAGTTTGAAACTGGTTAGAGGCAGGATATAGATATAGAAAATTATATTTACTACTGCTGCTTTGTACCCCAAGGAATCATTGCTTGATATAGCAAAACTTTGAAATGGTTTTGTTCTATTAAAACAGATGATGGATGCTTCATATAGGTATTGAAAAGTATATCTGTTATGGCCACATTGTCACTTAAGGAATCATTGCTTCTTGTTTCACTTTGATAATCTTTAACATTTTCCTTGAGTGCATGAACCTGGTCAAGTTCACTGTCCTTGCTGATGTTACTACAGTCTCAGATAAGCTGCAATATTTATTATTGTTTGATTTATAATTCACTGTATTATATTTTTATGTACTCCTAGATCTCTATTTGAATTTTCCATCCTGATTATTTTTTACTTTTAATGTGGTTGTATTCCCACTTTGTTTAGCCCATGGGTATGATTTTTTAAAACTTCTTCCAGCCACTAAGTTAAGAACTGGGTAGAAGATCTGGAACAATATGTGATAGAGAGTTTTTCATACTAGGCCTGTAAAAGAGCTTAAAAAGATATATGCACTCTAGGTGATACTGTAAAATAGGTAATCACAGTGATTGAAGTCACTAGGTTTTTAGTTTGTTTTCTTCGTATGATCTGTCAGTGTTTATAGCCAGGAGGTTGATCTAGTGAGTAATACAGAGGAAGTTATATTTTTACATAGATATCAAGAGATAGGGATTAGAAATTAAGATTGTAAATCAGGTTGATTATCAGAGACTACAACTTGATATGATAACCATGTGCTAACCAGGTTGCATACTTTATTTTGTTTTTTATAATTCAGTATCCATTTTTATGGTCTTGTAATTTGTAATACACTTTTTGACCCTAATCAAAAAAAGATTTGATCATCCTTGTTTCACAACAGGAGGTGTCATACAGTGAACTTCTGGTTCCATCTCGGAGTTTCTTCTGCAAGCCTCGACGTCAGCAGTCTGAGCACATAGAACTTGGAGACCCAACAGAGCGTTGCATGCATCCAGGAGTTGCTCGGTGTTTCAGCTATGAACCAGCAACACACAAGGCCACTGCACATTATATTCCACACTCACCACATGGACATTATGACAAAGGTACAGTGGGAATGTCCTTATATGTTTTTTCCTAAGGGTCTGAGGTCTGTGCTTGCACTGTTTTTGAGTGTAGTTTGGTTAACCTATTTCAGTAACCAAGTGTAGTTTACAAGTAATTTTCCAGTTTAGAAGGTATTTCAGAAGTCTTAGAATGAGTCAGTCACAGTGGTTTGTTATTGATGTTATATATGGTTTTCATTATTTGGTTGAAATGATAAATAAAGTAGATCAGTGCTAGTTAATAATATTAAAAGGCAACATATATTCTCAGTAAGTATGACTTTAGTTACGTAAATAGTTCTCTCCAGATACTGTTTCAAAATTAGTGGAAAAGATATATATAGGCTGGAGTCTGTGACTAACATGGTCTTATTCCTTAAGACCCTGTTTGATATATGAATTCCTTGACTTTATAAAGAGTGGATTAAGTTGAATAATGTTGACCTGTGTTTTTTGACACTGTGACAGAGGTCATAGACTTAATATCTCTTGCAGTATACAGGAAGAGGTATGTTGTTAGCTTTGTGTTATAATCCCTCCCTTGACCATAAGTACAGCAGAATCCTTTATACATTGTCAGTATTACAGTGGGGGCAGAGTGTATGTCATGTTTATTGCTAATTATATTTACACTTTCAATTAAGTGCAATGAAATGCAGATGAAGTGATAAAGAGATTTCTGCTGTATCTTTCCTTATTGAAATGAACTGATATTTTACTTTTTAGAGAATAACTGTGTTGTTGCCATAAATCAAGGTCATGACGTAGACTACTGCAGCTGTCTGCATTATGCTCTTTTTTATAATTTGCAGTCTTGGTTTTCTTTTAGTCAATTAATTTTCAAAGTTGGCTATATTTTATTTTGACTAGACATTCTGCAATGGCTTCTT